ACTTCAGTATTTCTACACCTTTTATTAGCCCACAACTTAAAGCTAAGGTCTTAGATGTCTGATAATGGAATTATGGGTCAAGTCACCGATGTCATTAATCGCAAGTGTTTGGATTTATACCTTTGGTGTTCTATCAGAAACAATTGGGAATTGCTGTTCTCGCCAACGGCGCCTTGTTTTTGAAAATGTTTATGGGCCGAAAGGGAATCAATCTGTCTTCACATCCGAGCCCAACATGCTAGACTACTACGCCATGGGCCATTGCAACACTCGTCTCGGCTGTTACTCTAACCTCCTCGCTAACGCTGTTTCGCGGCGAGTCTAGTCTATGCCGCTTGACACTTTGCCAGGTGTGCCGGGTAGCGATATCCGACGTCTGGTTGTTGGATCGCATGTGCTGGAGGGAGTGGTGGTTGGGTGGAGAAGCCTCGAACGCTAGTCTACTCCCGCTACGGAGATGCCTTGGACGCATAACTGCGTTTTGAATTTGCTGGATTGTTTGTCCTCTTCTGAGCGGCACATTGTCGTGCGGACGATATCATTTTTTGAAATGTTAAAAAAGAATCGAACCACTACGCAGCTGGAAACGACTGGTTGCAAGTTTTCGTTCTGAGGCCAGAACAGGCGTAGTAGCGCTCCTGTCGAAATAGTACAAAGTGGCAGTTTCCGAAATCTGGGTACATTATCATGCATTTTGTGCACATCCGGATCTGACTTACTGAACCACTGCACCACCGGCCTTTGCGCTTATGCACCTGCTGGAGCACCTATATTCTGTATGTGTGACATCGCCATACGTACTCTGTATCGCCTGGCTTTCTGCACCCTGTGCGACACAACCTCTCAATTGCCGTCGAATTTTCGTGAGACCTCCGCGACAGCTTAAAGAAGAGTGCCTACTTAAATGGTTCGCTATTTTTTCTGTTTTGTCCTGCCTCGTCTGTTCTTCCTCTTTTTGCCGTGTTATTTTCGACGGCGTCTCAATTTGATTTGGCATCCGACGCGATGAATCACCCATCGAACAATCACCCATCACAACTTTGACCTCCACGCCGACCCTGCTTGAGAGACCAATTTTATCCGGGCTTCTATAGCCTTTTCCACTCTGTTTCTTTTTTGGAGGCTTTAATTTCATTAATTTCTGATGCACTCTTTGGCTGTTGTTGTCCGCGTTGTAACGTCCATTTTTTGCTAATGATCGTACTGGTCACGTTGTTTCGATAGGACGTAGTTTTAATAACTTAAATTTGAGGTTACAAATTGGTTTGGTATCGACTGAACTATAAATTGGGTGGAAATGGTATTTTTCTGATTTACCACGTGCAGTGAGTTGGGAAATTGTATTCTTGTCCAAGCATGGCGAGAAGCGAAATTTTCTGATAGAAGTATTGCTTGCTTTCAGGGTGCTCTTACACTGAAGGTGGAGAGGAGCTCAGATATTGCTTTGCAGGGAGGATTTCAGAGCAGTGTAAAGAAAGGGAACGAGGATAGCAGTCAGGGGCTTAAGGCAAAGACTGCAGACAGCGATAAAGAGAAGGAAAAAAACAGCAGTACAAAAAGTTAAATTAAAGCAAGTCTGGGTGCTGGAATAAAAGCAAAATTAGAAGGAAAGTGTGAACCGAAAGCAAAAAGAGTAAAAGCAAACAAAAATACTCAGCCTGCGCGAGTGGGAATTTTCCTATAAAAACCCGCCACCAGTTGGGAATTTCCCCATTCATGAAGCTGATGCTTAGGCAGAACTGAGAATCAATAAAGTAAACCTGCGTAGGTAAATCCGAGAGCTGTCAGCCTTAACCATATCACTATCTGGATACACTCCGTATTTTTGGTGAATGGATAATCTAAGATCTTATTGTATACAATGAAAATGCATATGCCCTCATGGCATGAAATCTCGAGGTCTAAGAAGCAAGCCCTCTGTCCGGAGTAAGTGGTGTTGAGTTGCAAGCTGAGCCCATAGATATTACTGGCGATTTCAGCAAAGTTGGCGCAGTTAACAATGAGAATGTCAGCGATATACCGAAAGAGATGAAGATAAGTGTGGGGATTCTTACGAAGAAACCGGTACTCCATGACTGATAATGTGAGATCGGCAATATCCGGACTAGCATTACCTCCCATTGGTACACCTTATATTTGCTGGAAAACGAACCCACTAAATCGTCTTAGTAATGTATATCATCAAGGAGGCTTTGATATTAGTAGAAATAAACGGTCTTTATCAACCTTCTGTTTTCGGCACGGTGAAAACCTCTTCAAATTTCTTCACCTCGACGATATAGGACTTATTGCTGTAGCTAATACGATAGCTCCTGGATTGTACAAGTTCAGATACCTTTGTCATTGCTTAGACTTGACTCTCTCAATTGACGACAATGCTGGCATAGCAAAATACGAAAACCCATATTGTGACGACCCCGGTGTGTATGTATGTATGTATGTACGTATGTATGTATGTATGTATGTATGTATGTATGTATGTATGTATGTATGTATGTGTGTATGTATGTATGTATGTATGTATGCATGCATGTGTTTGTATGTATATATGTGTATCCGTCGGGTTATTTTAACTCGACACCAAGCAAGCTTCAGCGTCAAAATTTTGCCGTTGGGTTCCCCGGTCAAATACCATCTTAGGGCTGCAGTGACAACCTTCATGCACGTCTAGGCCCCACGTACGAGCGTATGAAAGTTTTGGCGAGGAAATCGCTAACTTGGGAACCAGAAAAGCTGGGAAGCTGAAATTTTGCGGTTATATTCCCGTCCACATAGAACTCGGAGATTTTAAATTCGGCTTCCAAGCATGCGCACTTATCACGTACAGCCCCGTGAAAATTCCTGGCAGGAAAATTACTAACTCAAGAACCAGAGAAGTTGGAGAGCTGGAATTTTAACGGAATTTC